GACCACAACTTTAAGAATAGTGGCAAACTCTTTCTCACTGAGCCTTGGCTTTCCAAGCTTGAGAACCGGCAGCGCCATCCATCTAACTCCAAGTGCGCCAAGTACTAAAACCTTTGCTGGCCGTTCAAAGGTTCCCACCCAACGGCCCAGTACCCGATTTAAACCTATTCACTGCATTGCATTTCGTAAATCTCGCATATATCCCGTATATACGGCTGCCCCAAAATCGCAGAACGTGGTGTTGGTGGGCGTGAGCAAGGCAGGCAGGCGCGGGCAGCACCTTCCACCACGTGGGTGCCAGCACAGATGGCCAGCGAAACGACGGACCAACAAGGCACGCATTGACTGCTGTCGCAGAGGCTGCTGCAGTTGCCATGCATGCCGCAGCGCAACCTTCGAATATAGCAAATTCTGTGCCCCTTCGCCTGTGGCCCGCCCCACGTCGGTTGACTGGAGAGAAGGAAATCAGGGGCGTGCTGTCACTTTGGGCGCCCGTCGCCTGCTATTCAGCCGCGGAAACTCGGGCACAAACAGGCCACGGGGCCAACAACAGCCCCGGTGGGGCGTTGGACACCCAGGCGCGTACAATCCTATGGTTGCCGAGAGTGGCGGCAGCAGGAACCGTGCAGAGTCACTCCAAAACCCATTCAACTCCAACGATGAGAATGCCGCAGGTGGGGGCTGCCGAAACCTGAACCTTTCAGGCCTCAGGCCGTTGGCAGTGAAGCCAAACTGGTCGGGCTGCTCGCCACGACCAACGTGCGAAGAGACAACACGAAGACGGAAGGCCAGCAATGTGCTTGTAACGTCACAAACGATAGTGTCGTCGGCTGTTTCTGCAGTTTTCGAGCAGATGGCTGTTTAATTACTGCTAATGTGCTTGACGATGGTAAATTGGGCCTGCCTCAGGTCATGCCATATTCAGAGTCGAAGGATTGCATGGGGAGGCACTGCGGTAAACTATTGCAAGTGTGGATGCCTCGCAATATATGCACCCAGCAAAGTAATCCCTGCAAATCTGCAATGCAAATATTGATGACGGCATTCAAAATGCTTTCAATTTTAAGATTGTATTAACATTGGCAACGATATTGATATCGTTGCATTGCGCATCCTGGAGGGCTGCTATTGCCCAAGCGTCCTCCTGGAAAAGGTGCGATTGCGCAACGGGGGATAGTCTGGCAACATGGCACAGGGCGTATCTAAGGACCAGCGAATCCGCGAGTCGCGGGGCGATTCAATTCGCCGCGGATCACATGCCCAGAGCGCCCCAATTTTGCTGTGATCAGGCTTGGTTTTTACGTTTACCTTTACGTTTTTACTTTTACGTTTTTATTCGTAAAAACGTAAATTTGCAGAAGGGCCTATTTTTACCGCTATTTTTACGTGTTTACGGCTCCCTGGAACACCCAGGTTACACGATGAAAGTTGCATACAATGATCAGTCCTCTACCATCTTCACACCTGCAACACAATGCCTACCTCGCCCTTGGAAAAGGCGATGATGGCGTTTAACGAAAACTCGTTTTATCCCCATTCCAGAGCATCTGGGTGCCACTCCCCGGATTCCATAAGTCTGTATGTACTGTCCTTATGTACACCGGACAGTTTTTATGTTGTGTTTACGTATTTTTACGCATTTTTACGCGTAAAAACGTAATAAAAACTATCTTTACTCGTAAAAACTATTTTTACGCGTAAAAACGTAAATACGATCAGTTTTTACGGCGTAAAAAAACAAGCCTGGCTGTGATCGTGCATGTTCGCACGTGCCCGATAACATCGCGTGGTCGATCGCCGGTCTGGCCACTCCTTGGTCAAAATCGCCGAGGCAAACTACGCTGATGACCGTTTTGTATTTTCAATGGTAGTTCGGGGACGCGGACATAACACTGCAAGAACATTTCTGCTCGGCAAAACTATATCCCGCCAAAGCTACAGTCTATATGCTCGATACTCGTGCTATTCACCTTCGCATTATCTGCGTTCACGGGCTGGCACTCCCGAGCTCCATGCTGAAGAACGGGAGAGAAAAACAGAAAAAAAAACATTCATGCACACCCGGCCTGCCAACACCGACCCTAGTGAGTCATATCCGCTGTCGAGCAACCACCACGGTAGCTCCACACCTTTTGTGGCCGTGTCGCGTGCATTAAGCGTTGTTCATAGGTGTTGAGGTCGACTTTGTTGCCACGTGCGGGCGTAGGGCCCCGTGGTCTTTCCTCTGGCGTGTGCCAATGCAAAAGGGGCAGAATGGAGTGCAAAGGCAGCACATGATAGCGCCAATTCCCTGTGCGGCGTTCGTTGCGGGAGTTGCGTTGTTCGAGGGAGCTCAATGGCGTTGGCCACGGTGATGGAGCCCCCTCAAGACGCGGCCACATGGTGGCTACCGCTGTGAAGGATCGGTTGGGCGCGTTTGGTGTATTTAAGCACATGCAAATTTGCTACTGAGCTGGATTGCAGCACTACACGGCCTGCTGTTACGGAGTAGCGGGCCACAAGCCGCCAAGTGCCCAGGGTGTTCTGGTGGGGTCGAAAAGCCCGACGGCTGAAAAGTTCTCGCAATAATATCTCGCGCAGCATCCCAGATGTGAAATGCGAGGCAATTTTCCTTTGCGAACTTTCTCCGAAAAAGTTGGCGGAGGAAAGCTTTCGGGCCATTGCATACCGAGTCGGCACACATTATCATGTCGATGATGACTGTCACCGCTCCCAAAAATGAAATCCCAAAGACTCTCATCGGCCGCGGCGACTCATCCTGTGCTCTGCGCACCTTGTTGCTTGCTGTATGCAGGTTTCAACTTGCGATCTAATTGCATTCGGGGACTGACCAAGAGCGCATCGTCAAAGTCAAAGGCGCAAATTTCCCATTGGGGAGAGGATGGCCCATACATACGCGCGACAGGAGAGCAATGTGCACCGTTGGAGGTAAAGACATGCTTCTGTCCGTACCTCGCGAAGCTGCAGTGCCCGAAGATTTCAGCCCAGAGCACACGAGTTCATACCAGATGTCTAGAAGAGCTGTGAGAAGGTAACATTTATGCGTACAATTTCGGGCTGGGCTCAGGGCAAGCATCCCTGGATAAGACTGAGAATAAAGAAAAAACGTGCACTGGTCACTGTGAGCTGCAGCTGTGCATTTGGACACCCGGATGGTCCCGTACGACAGTGTATGTTGAAGGCCTGCCTGCCAAGGCTTTGGCCCCTTGTTGTTACCGAAGGTCGTCGTGACGCTGGGCACTGCAGACTGTCTCATTCCGGGACCTATCTCTCAAGACCATCTGCTTTGGTGCGCTCTTCGTTTTGTTGCTTGAGCGTGAAATGTATGTGCGTAGAGAACCTGTACGTTTGAACAGACGCTGCCCGTCGTGCCCCAGGAGGTGAGGGCCATTGCCACTGCGTACGGCCCTTTGCATGGGCGCGGCATATCTGATGCTGTGAGATGTGTGCGACAAGCCTTTGAGAACCACAGAACGTCGCCGCGATGGTGGCCGTGAACCGAGAAGACCCGCGGAGCAATCCCCGTGTAGCATCGTGAGCCAAGTCGTGTTTGCAACGTCGATCACACATTTCAGAGATACGCACAAATGTGCAGGAGTGAGCGGAACAATCGCGGTGACAGCCAGCAGAAGGAACTGCCACGGGGGCGAGATGAGGGCCTATGTCAGGCGTCATTTGGATCCTCGCCGTGAGGTGGAGATTCCGGAATCGAGGGACAGCCATCTTTGAGACCAAAGTGAGAGGGGAAAACTGCTTTGGGCGTGCCCTTGTCAACTGTCGTTTACAACGCTCATTCAGTTCTTGATTGGGTGGAACCCACTGTGAATTTGGCGGTTAAGGAAACTATCGCATCAATTGTGACAACTGCCGGAAGTGGACAATTGGTTGCCTTAGACTGCATCGCTGTGTGTCGAAGCTTTGAGGAAGTGTTGAATCATGACAATGTGCCGCACATTGTCATGGCTTGAAAACCATTATGTCGGTAACACAACGGGCAACTCAATAATAGCCAACATGAACGACGCATCCCTGGACTTCGGGCAGCGCATTTGCTCCCACAGTCCCTATGCACGGATCTATTAGTTTTGACAAGAGAGATGAGCGAAACCCCCGCTAAATGGGATGTGTGCATTGGCCGCCGAATGTCTCGTAGTTTGGTATGTACTTCTAGCGTTTGGACTCCTGACCCGCGCTCCGCTCCAAACTTTGGAGTTGAACGCGAGGCCAAATTATTGGCGGCAATGCATTGGGAAACCACAAATTGCGAACCTAATAACCGCAGGAAGGTAAAATCTCTAACTCTTTCTGTGGCTCTGCTCAAGGGCCGGCCACCAATGGTGGCCCAGCATGGCGAGGCATTGTGGGTCGGCCCTTATACTGAAAAACGACAGGTTTTGAATAAAGGCTATTTCCAAACTATTTGTGACAGAGTGATTCAGCCCTTTTCTCGCTATTGAGCCAATGCGAGCCCACCCCCCAGTCCGACGCAGACATCATCTGAACGTTGGGCAAACAATGGAGTCACATCAATCATTAAATCGATTAAATGGCACAGCTCCACTCTCACTATGAAAATTTTCGAACGTCTTCTCTGGAGGACCGCGTCAGCAAGGGCAGAAGACTCATGCCAGTCAGGCCAGAATGCCTGCAATCCAGCCAGCAGGGCATGCATGTGTTATGTACCCATTGAGCGCACAGCTCAGGCACCAAACTCCATATCGTTGCCCCGCGAGTCTGCTTTCTTCGTCCAAAGCCGCATTTGCAAAGCTCCAGTGGCAGTGTGAATGCCTGCTGCTTTCGCACTCCACGCGACACACATCTGACATGGGCCCAGCATCCAGATGCATGTCTCACATGTGTCCAACATGCAATGAAATGGCCTCATCACCGCTAATGGGGCCAGCTGCTGCGGGCATGGGCTTTCCCGCACTGCCCATGAGCCAGGACAGCTGAATCCACGGCGAGAGCCTCCAGGTCGACTGCGGTCTCGTGCACCATGTCTACACCCCTTCCACTGCCGAGCCTGAAGCGGTGCCTCCCCTGTCTTCGATACCGAGAGCCGCCTTTACCATGGCAAGCTTCACCTGCAGCACTTCGGCCACCTCCTCCGGAGAAATTGGCGCTGCAACCAGAACACCACAATCAGCGACTCAATGCGCAATCCCAAGTCCAGCTACCAATGGCAGACAGACAACAGGGAGCACGCGCTACCCAAACAAATCGCCTACGTGACACAATTCCAATCCATGCTTACCCCGGAAAAGTGCATTAGCAACGCAGTATGCGTTGAAACGGGAGAAATCGGACAACATAGGCGTTGTCCGGGGCTATTCTTTTCAGTGAAGAGTAGCATTGCTGGCGACCAACAATGACGGATTTCGGCGCGGCCTAGAACTCAATGGCAGCTTGTGTGATCGCGGATTCTTTGCCGGCACGCCCAGGCGATTACTATGCAGGGAGAGGGTGAAACTAAACCCTCCACAGTTCCAAGCGCACGATATGGCCCCGTTGCTGCTATTGCAGTGAAGCAAGCCATGTAGAAATGGGGTCGTTTACAATTTCGAACCTGTAACGCGATTGTCCAAAAGAACCCTGTACTGGAATCAACCTGCCAGGACGGGTGTTTGGACAAAAGGCGGGGATACGCTTTTGTCAGTCGTTTGCATTACATGCCGTCACTGGATTGCACTGCATTGCAACACATTGCATACTTCGGCTTCTCTTTTTCATGAACTTAATTTTCCTCGCTTCTTTTCCTTACTTCTTTCCCTCACTTCTAATTCCTTCCTTAAAGTATATCCTATCGCTTTCCCCTTATTTTGCTGATTTTTTCTGTGCAAATCAGTTGGATGCTGGTTAGACGAGTCGAGAGAATGGCTTCGTGACGGAACAGGATGGACAAACACAGGCCTATGCCGCATGTCTTGTGAATGGGCACCGACATTGGACTTGCATTAGAACACGTGCTGTTCATGTGCGGAATGCAGCTAAACAGCATCCCATCACGGCCAAGGCTGCGCTCTTCCACCTCCTCCTCTATGACCGCTGAGGTGTTACTGTTACCATTGTACCTTCCACGGCGCCTGCCATCGTAGAAACGGCACCAATTGCTTGCTCCCATCATGTGTGGAACGGACTTTGTTGCGACTGTGCACTCCTACCTGAACGCGACTGCTCCTTCAGGCTGGCCACAACAAGCTTGTGGAACTCGTCCAACAGGAGGTAGGCGTCCTCCTCCATGTCGGCCTTCATGCTGAGCAGCACTCCGGCAATGGCTTTCCCAGGAATGCTGACGGCGCTATTGTGAATCTGGACCACACACGCAGCACAAGGAAAATCGAGCTGACCATACAGAGCGTCAAGCGCTGGGTGCAGATTGGGCGCATCTGCAGCCATGACTGAGGCACTCAAATGCAATTCCTTGAAGCTGGCATCCTTTCGGTCAAATTTGCAACACGGGCAGGGCCACACACATACACACCCCGCACCCCACCCACACCCCATCCATTTCATTCGGATTGTGTGAAGGCACTGGATTCTCGACTGAACTGATGTTGATTGCATTTCGCATACATTAACATGAGGTAATATATTGGGATCCCATCGAGCAAATGATGAACACCGTTCTTCTTGAAAAAGATAGGGAGCCGACGGCTACCTCCACGCCTTGATCTACATAATTCCATGATGGCAAAAAGTTCAAGTCGTGGGTCGCGCCATTGACTCCAATGTATCAGCAGAAGAAATTGTGCAAAGGCACGTCCAAAACCCCAGCTCAGGTCAGCCCTTACGCCTCCCGGATACATAAAGGTGGCTTGGGTAAGAAATCGGACGCGCTGCACCCGCACTGCCAAGTGTGCGACAGAGCCAAGACACCTATTCATTATCAATGTAGTGGGGATATTTGGCTGGAAATCTAGCCTGGGATAACCTTAGCACTGCTTACTTCACCGATCGGAATACTACACACTACTGCACATGCTACGCACATGCTACTGCATTTAATGGTATTTCCTCACGTCACAACCAACATGGCCAACACGGAAATCACCACGCATAAAATGACATCTCAGCACATTTCCAAACACAAGCAAGCGCACGATACGTTCTCTACAAACGCAGCCATGGATGGCTTCTTGTACGGAATGACTCAGAAACAGACTTGGGATTTCTATGCCGTTCCGCATGACATATTGGGCTTGGATGATTGTGGGCAGACGCCACCAACTGCTACAGATCGTCCTTGGTTCGAAGGTGAACGAGCACCGTTTCACCAATGGTTGGCAAATGCACGTGCCAAAGACTGCAATTGCTCGCTCAAGCGGGCAGGTTCTGACCTGTGCAAAGAGGAAAGGAACCACAAGGGCCAGGCATCCGATTTCAAGAACCGGCGTTATAATGTTTCAGCCTTTTCTATGGTATCATAGAGCGCCTGGACAACACACGACCACACGGAGGTGTGGGGCTTGTTTTCGGTGCTGAATGTCTGCTTTCTTTTGAAAAGCAAAAGACTGCATCTGAGAAAGGGCCTGCATCTCGGCACTGTGCATGCCTGGGTTGATAACATGTCAGCCAGTAAAAGGCGCTTGTGTGCGCTGATTCGCCGTTTCACAAGTACGAAAATATGTGTTGACTCCACAGCCAAGCACAGACCCCACTGCTAAAAACTGGCGTTCATATTCCCGTTTTGGCTTGTGATTCAAAACAGAAGCCAATGTCCACAAAGCTGCTGGGCACCCAGGGAGCCTGCACTCTCCTCTGCGGCAGTCCGAAAAGGCATGCATGAGCTGCCTAGGGTGCTGAATGATCGTGTGTGCAACAAACCACCACCATACAGACACCGACCAAACAGAGTCCTGAGCTGAACACTGGGCCTTCTGCTGCGTAGTTTTGCATGTGCCCTGTCGCAACTTGGGAAAAACATTGGGGATGACAATGTGCGTTGTTCTGTGGGCGCTTGGGAATGTTCAATCATTTGGCAGGTGTAATTGAAACACTTATCCACAATAGCAGCAGAAAAAGCAGAGCAGTTCCCATTGTTGGCATGGCCCCAATTGGCGTCTGCAAGTTACTGTCTGCCCACCTGAGCATCACCCCCTTTTGTTGCCTGCACAGCTGCTTCAGCAGCTTTGGAAACGTTTGCTGGCAGCTGCTTGACGATGTTGCTGCGATGGGTGGGTTGTATGGGAACCAAAGGATCGGCAACTTCCTCATTGGGGTCATGCAGCTGGATAAATCGCAACAGCCAGTCAAGGGCGTCCGTTCCTGGTTGACCAAAACACAACTTATTAGATCCCTAGAAACAGCGTGCAAAGAATGGGAATGTCCAATCAATATGTCAGCTGCTCAGGCCAAAGGGTTAAGTTTATCTAGCTTGTCGCCACATTTCACAGCTGCGCTAGTGTGGAGTGAAAAATGATGTGTAGCCTTGTTACCAAAGAAAACTCACACCATCTGAAGAACATTGCCCAAACTGCAAAGTGTCGCAGTCGATGGGAACCAGAAAACCATGCACGGTATCAAATACACAGGCTGGGCCCAGGCTGTGAGACATGAAAACATGCCATCCAAAGAATCTCTTCCAGAGCTTGACAACATGTTGATGCAACACGACAGAGCAACGCTATCAGCACAAAAACCCATCCAGTACCCAACCTGGCTACCTGTGGTCTTTATCAAATGTCGATGCACCAAGGCATGAGTGCTCTCATTGTTTTCTAGATGCTTTGCGCCTTTCAAATATAGCCAGAAGTGCTGCATCTCTTCCCCAAAGCCCTTGAATGCCTTGTCCTTGATTTCGCGCCGGCCCTGAGATGCCTCACCCATTGCGATCTGACAGGCAGAAACTGGAGGAATGAGCATTCCTGATAATGATGGCCTTGTGGCTGAGCAAACGATGACATATCATAGGACAATTTGCAAACAACAGCAATAGAAATTGCATGGCATTGCCTAGCTTGCCAATTTCATTCTTTCTGATCCTGTGCAGTTATTGCCCTTGCCACAGCCTCTAGTTTGCACATCGGTTTTTGCGGGCACCTAATTCCCTGCAAGCAGCAGCATTTGTACGATGCATTGAACCTGAGCATAACAAAGCAAAATGCACATCACATGATAGGAAGCAGTGGTGACACATTACAAGTGCAAGAACACCATCAACACAAAGCACAGATACAAGAAATGCAATCAAAAGTAATCTACAGAAAACCACAAAATACAAAGAGCATAAAAACTATAAAACGTACGCGATGTTTTCAAACAGTACTGAGCGACAAGTGCCCAGGAGAAGCAGCGCACCTGCATAGTGGCATGATATTCAGTGACAGCTGCAGGACATGTCTGCTCCGCAAGTGCCCTCAACATATTTGTGGGGTCCCCACCCTCATCCAGGTCTGGATACCACTCGACGAATTTCGAAACCAGTTTATCAGGCGTGGGAAGGAGTGTGGTGTCAGCATCAGGTGGCCCTTTGTCCCCCCCAGCACCCTTTGATTGTCCTGGCACATCAAAGAGAGCTTATCTTGTTGCGCCTGCTGGGCCATTTGGGCACACTCCATGCAATTATGGCAGCAACGAATGGTGGAACAATGAATTGCATCCAATGTACGACATGCAGCTTTTTCACGATATATGCACCAAGAGGCGCTGCTGCAGTCCAGCATCCTCACCAATGCAAAGCTTCAACCAAGTCCTGGAGTGCTGGAAATTCTCAGAGTGCTGGGAAGTTCTTTGCCAGGGTTCATACGATATATCTTTAGGGCTTGACATTGCCTTGCGTTCTCATGTGAGGCAGCACAGGGCCCACATCTTTGCTATTTGGAAGGGATTGGCAACTATACACTTGGACTTCAAAAACGAATTTCAGGCAATTGGACCAAAGGGCTTTCACGCACCACCAGACAAGCAGTCAATCCAGTTGGGCGCCCAAAGGTCCACCACACAAGCAGCGTCAAGGTTGCCAACGAAAGTGAAAGAACATTGTGGCAGCAAAAGGTGCTTGAAATTAGAAGGCAACCTGCTGTAACCGGACAAAAGAATGGGCTTCATTCCATTCCCTTGTGCTTCTGGGCTTGTAAATTCTTGCGTTAGATGATACACGGGGTTCTTATGGTATAAAGCCATGAGTAATCGTGCCTGCCAACAATGGCAGTGACAATGTTATTACGCAATTCACTGAGATAGGGCACTTTCCTTGCAGTCTCAAGGCCATGACCGTCGAGAGTACTTCTACAGGACATCCCTAAAGATATCGTCATCTCAAAACCAACAATGAACAATATAACCTGCACTGAATTTGAATTTAATGAACAAGCAATGAATTTGGGTGGATACCACTTGTTGTGGCTTCATTAACACAGCCATGCTAAGGAACAGAAAGACAGCAATTTCAACGTACGTGAGGTGCTCTCCAGAGCGTTGCCAGACACTTTGGGAAGATACAGACAGGCTAGCTATGACTGCAAATTAGATGTTTGCCGTGATAGCAACTTTCGGTCCATGGGCAGTAGTGCGCAAGCAAAACAGACACCCTCACTGTTCGGCTGTTCCTTCTATGCTGACGACTAAATGGGCAGGCACAGCCTGAAATGATCCGCATCTGGGGCAACGCGCAACAGAAGAATACTCAGTATCCAGTAGGTACTCACCAAGTCGTTTCAGTCCCCACATGATGGTATAACTAGCATGTGTGAACCGACAGCACTAGACCCATAGTCCACAGGCACAGCATGCAAATCCATCCCCACCTCCAGTCTGTGATTTCCCTTTCGCTTTTGCCTTGGCCTTCGCCTTTCCCTTCTTTTTGCCCTTGCTTTTCCCTGTGTCCCACTCCTCATCGCTGTCGTCTGCTTCCTCCTTCTGGTTTTCTGGCTGTCCAGCTCTACTGCGCTGCTGAACCCCAGAGGCAGATGCACCTGCTGACTCTTGCTGACGCTTTTTGAACGCCTCAACAGCAAGGGACTTCGCATCCTCCACAGCTCGTTTTTGAGCATCCTATGTGCCACAAATCGTTGTCTATTGGCCATGTTCTGGTTGTGTATAGCTGTAGTAATACAGCATTCCTTTATCCTTTCTTTTAAGATTTGTTTGACAATAAGCAGCAGAATGTTCCCTCTCCTCCACAATATGGCCACACTGATAGATACGAATGCCGCACAAAACTCAATCGACACAATGCACATCAGCATACAGCATGCAATGCAGCTACCAGTGAAAATCCAGGGAACAGCCAAAACACAGCAATCTTGGGCAGTTGGAGACCACTGCCAGGAAACTGCTGAGATTGTTTTGGTGATTAGTAACGATTGGTCAACTGTTTGAAGTTTCTGTTCTTTTCCTCAGTGCTGACTGTGCTGAAAGTAATTCACCTCACCAATTGTGAGCTGGGTTGCAGTGCACCACTCACCTCAACAAGGCTGGCACTCACTGCGCATGTCCCAGCAAGCATCACAACTGTGCAGCCTGAAACATCAGCCGCACTGTTTGAGACTTTCACTGCTGGGAAATTCAGCATCAGCATCGCGATGTCTGTGTGTGTGAGGGATGTGGGGGTCAGAGATGCAACGTCACACCTGCATTGAGCAATTGAATACTGACATGAATACAAGTATCAGTCAAGCAGCACATGCATCAGCAAAGGCTTGAGAAAACACAGCTGCAGAACCTCTCAAACCTCCCAATCACTGCACAACATGAATGAGATCGGAAGACGATGACCATAAACATGTACAGATGGGACAATTATGTGCAGACAAGTACACGGATCCAAGGAGGAAAAAGCGAATCAAGGCGACTATGTGAAGTGCCATTCCAATTGATATTTGTGGAATCTCTACAGCATATCTAAAGCTTGCTTTCATGAATTATCAGTTGTCAGGACATATTGGTAGATTGGCCATTTGCACTTTTGCCGAAGGTTCTCCCAGGCATGGTGGCCAGGGAGGCATGAACGGGGCAACCAGCATCAGCAGGCTACACCAGTTAATGACACAACTCAAGCCCAGTTTCAGCAATTCCACTCTCTAGGAGATCTTCGTTTCTATTTGCGGAAGCAAGCTGCAGGTTCAATGTTCATGGTAGCGCTGCAGGGAAAAAAAATGCGGGTGGTCCAGGCCAAAAAGAAGGAGTTCGTGGCAGCTATGACACACAACAGTGCTACAAGTGCCACAGCGCCACTGTTGCTTGTTTAGGATTAGTAGGATTTGTCACATGCTGAAAGAAAGCTAGTCAAACACGGGGCAGCCCTTCTGATGAGAAGGGGTTGATCCAGGGGTGATCTCTTCTTGGCTTTCCAATTAACACTGACACAAAAGCACACATTCTAATGCCAGTTCATTAACTACAACGTTAACTCTCTGGATTGTATTTGGTCAGTTATCCATCACAGAAAAGGTCTTTGCATCTTGCACGAGATGGCTGGCACAGAAACGTCCAAGTGAAGAGTGTGTGAAATCCCCAAATCATCATTGTGCACACCACCCAGTTGCACTGCATGTAACAAGGCAGCAGAAAACACCAAAGCAACACCTTAGCGATCTGGACAGGTGGAACAACATCGCCTTTGTGCAACCTTTTCTCAAGATGATCGGCACTGTTCACATTCACAGAGAGTTGTTCTACACCTTCACTGCACTAAACGGGCATGGTGCTGAGGTGAGGCTCACCAAGTTCCAGTGCTTGCCACTTCCTGGATGGCCATGTCCACCTGTGCAAGGACCCCAGGAGCCACCACAGTGCTGTCTAGAGTGATACTCCCAGGGAAAGCGTCCTCCACAGATGATGCATCGGTGGCAATGCCAGCTCGCTGCATCGAATCCAGAGCCACCCAGCCATTGTGATTGTAGAAGGATTTGAGGGCGCCTCGCTGTGCCCTTTGGTGAATGTCAGGCACCCAGCTTCCTCCAACCTTCAAGGATCCCTGCAGGTACAAAACTGGATACTACTCTCAACTTGATAACTTGACCATGTGGCTGAGCATTTGAGGAATGTGTGCATGAACAAACCACTGAAACTGACCTAAGTAGCCTTGGCTACAACCATTCACTTATAGACATTCAATGCAAAAACAGTTTCAAGCATGTCTGGCATATTCTCATGAGCAAGGCTGACAACAAGCAAATGGCCAAGCCAGCCGCTGGCAACCCAGGAAAAAAATCCTTTCAACAGCACTGAATTCAGAGAATGTCACTTCCAAGTGGGAGGAAACAAGAGCACCACTTGTGCCCAAGTTTGAAATCTTGAGGACCGTACATGCAGCATCCAATACAGGCAGCTCGGCAATCTGCTGGCAGAGGACCCCATGGATCTCACCATCAAGGTTGTTGAGAATACTTGTCACAGAGCCTCTCTGCCATTCTCACTTTGGAGACAATGGCTGACGAGGTTGCTAAGCATGCAGTGTGCAGGGAAATAAAGAAGACTGGTTTGTAAGACGTTTCTGATTCAGCACATTAAGGATTTGCAGGATACTAGTAAGATGCATAATTTGAGCAAGGGTGCAAACTGTCATTTGCGACTTCTTGTGTTCTGGCTAGGCTTTCAATAACGACAAATAACTGCTCACCTACAATACCATGGAGTGCAAGTTATGCACAACATTGCTCTGTCCCATGCAGGAGAGAAACATAACACTTTCTATAGTCCATATTCCATCCAATCTATTCAACGCCACTGACAGAACACAGACCTTGACAGCGCGCTCCCTGATGAGCTCCTCTACCAGGGTGCTGACGATGGCCCCCACACCACTATCACTACCATCCAGTCTCAGGAGCTTCAAGACCTTCGATAGTGCAGTTGGTGATGTGACACCACGGAGGGCCCCCCTCAGCTGTGCCTTCAGACGTGCGACGTACATGGGGGTGTACAGCATCCCTCCAGCAAGCCTCCCGTCGATCACAGTCCCAATCCGCGGCGTCACAAGCGATAGGATCATCTCAGAGGACAAGGCAAAATGAATTGCGAAATCGCCTGCAGGTGAAGGCACAGGTGGGGCTCAGCCAAAACAGGGCCAACCAGCCCATGCAGATCCCTATGTTCACAATTTCTGACTAGCAAAACGGAAGCACTCACAGTGTTCCTCGTGCAGGTCGGGACACCGGCAGTTCAGAGCAATGTATCCAAAAGGGTGATTGCCATTTCCAAACTGGCATCAGCACAGTGGAACTTCAGAAAATGTTGTTGAGGGTGCAGAAGCCAATGTGGGAACAAGGGTGACTGGCCCACACTTGGCACCCTGCAAAGCTCAAGAAATACATCCCTTGCTTCTGTACTTTTGGTGCAACAGCCACACTGGTACAGAACAGTCAGTGTGCCTCATCCAAAAGGCTTGCTGTCTGGGAACTCCAGCATGACAAAGCCAACATCAACTAGTAGTCACTGTTATCTATGATGCAAGGAACCCGCACCAACATTGTCAACGTATTTCACATCATGCATGGAACACAAGATGCAGTGGTGGTGAAGTGCTCCATCTATTGCAAGGGACAAAGCCAAGTTTTTTGTACTGGATTTGACATAGATTTTTGTTTGGAAAATGACATATGATGGCTATACTGGTGGTGGTGAGTGGGATGCTGGGGGCTGAGAGGGTGGGTGGGGGTAGGGTGTGGGGGGCTGGCGGGGGGCAGGGCCGTCTGCAAAGCATGTCCCCATTAAAATGATGCCACAGCACCACTTTCCACCACAAGGTCTTTTGGTCAGCTGGCCTGAGACAGCAGCAAGTTATGGATGGAGGGGTGATGAATTCCTGCGTCATGTGCATGCCTCACCTACTCTAACCATCCCTGTTTCCTGCAACATGTCATTTATTTCGATGCCTACACCATCAAAGTACTGGCTGGTGACCAGGTCTCCTTGAAGCAATGTTGTGGTCCCATCGGATTCAGATATGATCGATTTGGCCACGTGCTCACAGTGTGCAAGGTCCACATTTAGCAAGGTTGGTAGATCAGACTGCATGCACAAATCAGCAGGAGGAAGGAAACAGTCAGTAGTGAGCCATTGGAATGCATTTCTGCTGGCGGACAAATAGCAGACAGCTAATTCACAGGGACCTTAGCCATAGGGTTGCCTTCCACAGCCTCCTTCCCAAATCACACTGGCTACTTTTATCTACAATTCTTACAGATTGTGATCTTATTGTGGTGCTGCACAACTCTTTGCACTCCAACCACTTTCCGCAATGTCCAGGCCGATGCTCCCAGGTGCACAGCTGTGGGCAAAGTGCTAGAAGTTAAAGTTGCACAATTGAACGGCGCTGTGCACAGATCGCAACCTTCTGTGAGGCCAAGGCTAGTGTTGGCAGAAATTGGATAGCTCAGTGAGCCTGGCCTCAGAACCAGCATATCAGGCGATGCATGCAGTGGAGCAAAGAACGCCACTGGATCCAAAATTAGTCATGCAGCAACACAGAGCGACATTACACCAAATGGTGTAAATGGCAAGCGTTGGTGGGATTCTGCTTTAATGCAAAGCCCATGTTCAAGCCAAGTAGCCACACAACATGTCTCTGCTGTTGCGACAACGCCACGCGATGGACTGTCATCTCTCCAGAAAGCTTTCTTACCACCCCTGGGCACCTGCCCGCCCGGCCACGTTTGCAAGCGGATTCAATTCGTTCGATCGTGGAGCTCACCAGCGCCAATCTGCCTCCCGCCACTTGCAGGGCATCTTGTATTTCCTTCTTCAATTGATCTCTCGTGATGTATTCCTGACCGTTCATGGTGTACAGCAGCTCGCTGCCCAGGAACCCGAGCTCCTTCAACTTGTTCACCAGCTCCACCACGTTCCTCTCGGACAGCCGAACCTGGGATGCACAGGTGCACATCAGCAAGGCAGATCAGCACAAGAGAGCGGCGCACGCAGGGGCAGCGGCCGGGACCCCTTGGGCGCGGCCGCCCCCACGGCACCTTGGCGGCCCACCGTGGATTTCTTCTGCTGCACGGCCTGCAGCTGCGCCTGCAGATCCTCCAGAGACATGTCGGCCATCTTTCCGCCTCGCGACGCGCCTCCGCGGGCGCCTCGAGCTGCACGTGGGGGCGAGAGGGTTGGCGCGCGGACCTGCGCGCTTGGGGCGCCCGTCTCCCAATGGAGAACTCCAGCGCAGCGCCGCATACGTCATCCTTTGTTTCAGGATGACGCCATCCCCAATGGGCCAATTTGCTGCCATCGACCCCAGAAATCGTGGGCAATTATTTCTTTTGCTACAAGGTCGGATATCCGCGTGCGCTGCGCAAGCGCGGTCCTCTGATCAACCCGACGGTGTGGTATCGTGCGGTCGGCCGGACTACCCACATGTTTCTTGATAGTTGTGACACAATACATATAATTGTGTAATGTGCTAGGTCCCAATAGATATAGTCTTTGAGGCCTTGGCATGCAGTTGAATGCAAGCTAGTTTGAACATGGGTTGAACATATTCAGTCGCAATGACCAATCGCCTAGTTTTGGCCTCTTAGGATCAAGTTAAGCACACTAGTTAGTGCGTGAAATGGTGTGCCAGTCGGTGAATGAACTCATGCACCATTTGTTGGACGATTGAATGCAATGATCGTTGTAAAAATCTGTGCATTAATTGATGCACCAATTCGTGCAGCGATTGCAGCGCGAAAACGAAGGCAGGTTTTGAGTGATGGAACATAATCATCTGAACTCATGTTTGATGATCTAAGTTATGTGTATTAGGGTATGTCATGCACCAATTCGAGTTGGTGTCTTGGGTATTGCACTATTGGACTTTACAGCGCTGCCTTTTGCGCCTTGCGAGTTATAGTGTTTCAGCGCCTGCTCAAGATCAAATAGTGCTGAGAATTTATGGTTTGATCAGAAAAAAATAGGCGGTTGCGAATGGGCTCTTTTTAGCTAACAACGTGGTGTCCCTTGGCGTCCACAGAGGGGTGCACAGTGGAGGTGCAATTGGAGGATAGATTCTGTTAATATTGTGCACTGTTCGTGAAAGATCTTATTTCCGTTTGTTGTTTTTCTGTTTGTTTTGGACGAGGGTTCTCGTTGCAGCATTTATTCTACTTTCTGTCCGTGGCATTTTTTTTTCTTGGGACCTTTTTTCATCCGTGGTGATATGGGACAGGAGTGAGCACGTTGGAACGCGCCTGCAACGGGCTATGCACACTGGGAGGGCCGAGGACGAGGCCCAAAGCGGGGCAGCACCAGGCGCAGGCTGCCGGCGCCTTGGTTGCCCTGCGATTGACCGCCGATTGACCGCTAGTTGACGGGCGCCATAGCAGGCGATCGCCGTAGCGAGGCGCGTCGTCGGGTCGCCTGCGGTGTTAGCGGAGATTGGCGCCTCAATCGCCACTAGGTTGCCGCTCAATCGAAGACCACGGCTGGACAGGCGCTGCGGGCGATTGAGCGGCATACGGGCAGCCAGGCTTGGACAGCATCCCGTCGCTCACACCTTCCCGGATCAGCAGCGGGTGCAGGTGGGAGCAACCGCCCGCGAGGCGGCAATACTCCCGGCGTGCATCGTCGCCACGGGTAGCATGGCTGAGAGGCCGCGGAGTGTGAGAGGGCCCCCCGAATTGACGCTCACAGGCGGCCAATCACGCTGCCCGTGGGGGGCTCGAATGGCCCCCGGCTGGTGGCTCAGCTGGCCGCCCGCGAGCTGCGGGAGGGTACACGGATCGGCGGCTCCCGGCCGCCGATTCACGCCGGCCGCGGTGGCTTGGAATAGCATCAATAGGCGATGCAAATGAGCGCCCACGAGACGCCAGAGGATTGGTCCGATTGGCGCCTCGTGAGCGCCCGTTTGCGCCTCCCGCGTTCGGCTGGAATGGCCCCCCCGCCGGTTGCACAAGAGAGCGCCCGCGAGATGCAACAGGCATGGGAATATAGGAGCCTCGCGGGCGCACATTCGCGCTAGCCGCGATCGCCTAGAACGAGCTTCGCCGATGGCGCGAGTGGGCGGCTGCTAGGCGTGAAATGCAACACGCGATCGGCAGCTCGTCGGCGCGGAATCACGCCGCCCGCCATGCCTTGAAACAGGCCCTGGCGGTTCCACGAGTAGGCGCCCGCCAGGCAGGAAATGCCCGGAGGGTTTCGCGCCTCATGGGTGGCTATTCGTGCCACCCCCAGTCCCCTAGAGTGGGCTTCGCCGATGGTGTGAGTGGCTGCCCACGAGGCGCGAGATGCGCCACACGATAGGCGCCTCACCGGCGCCCAAACACCCCGCCCACTAGAGGTGGCCCCATCTGTCCGTCCCCAACAGAATTTGTTTGGCTCCGTTAACAAGGCCGGATATCCGCGCGCGCTGCGCAAGCGCGGTCCTCTGATTAACCCGACGGTGCGGCATCGTGCGGTCGGCTGGACTACTCAGACGTTCTTTGATATTTGTGACACAATGCACGTAATTGTTTAGTATGCTAGAGCCAAATAGAAATGGTATTTGAAGCCTTAGCAAGTAGATGAATGCAAGCGAGTCTCAACATGAGTTGAACATGTCCAATTGCAATGACTTCCAGTCACCAGGATTTGGCATCTTACGGTCAAGTTTAGAATACCAATTAGTGCATGAAATGGTGCACCAGTCGGTGCATGCACTCGCGCACCAATTGTTGTAGAATTGAACGCAATGATTGTTGTACCAATTTATGCATCAATTGATGCACCAATAGGTGCAGTAACTAGTACATGGCAACGAAGGCAGGTTTTGGGCGATGGAACATAATCATTTGGATTGATGTTGTAGGATCCAAATTATGGGTATTGAGGGGATATCGTGCATCAACTCGAGTTGGTGCCTTGTGCACTACACGGTTGGCCTTTATAATGTTTTCTTTTGCACCTTACGAGTAATAGCATTTCAGCGGTTGCTCAAGATCAATATTGTAGAGAATCTACGGTTTGATCGGAAAAAATAGAGGGTACCAAGCGGGCTTCTTTTCAACTAACAACGTTCTATCCTCCTTGGCAACCACAGACTCTGTGGTACAGAGGGGTGCACAGGGTAGGTGCAAGTGGACAACAGATTCTGTGGATATTGTCCATGAGTCGTGATAGATTTTGTTTCTGTTTGTTGTATTTCTGTTTGTTTTGGCTGAGGATTTGCGTTGCAGGTCAGCATCCATTTTACTTTCCGTTCGACGCATTTTTTTCTTGAACGCTTTTTCATCCGTGTTGATCCGGGACATGAGCGTGCGCCCAGGAGCGAGTGCCAAGGAGCGAGCGCGTTGGAGCGCGCCTGTAGCAAGCTGTGCCCATTGGGAAGGGCGAGAACGAGGCCCAAGGCGGGGCAGCCCAGGCGCTGGCTGCCAGCGCCTTGGCTGCCCTGTGATTGACCGCCAATTGACGGGTGCCACAGCAGGCGATCGTCACAGCTAGGCGGTTGGTGGGATCGCCTGCTGTGTTGGCCAAGTTGGGCGCCTCAATTGCCGCTGGGTCGCCTCTCAATCGGAGACTGCGGCTGAGCAGGCGTTGTTGGCCATTTAACGGAACGCGGGCAGCCAAGCTTGCAGAGCGTGGCCGAGCCAACCGTGTGGGGTTTCGTGGCGACTTTGCCCGCCACTTTGGCTGGTCACTGCTGAGCAAACAACGCGCCAAACGCGGGCGTAGACGGTCGTTGGCGCTGGCTGCAACAAAGCGTTTGATTGAAGGAGATGCGGGCAGCAAACACGCGCCAAGATCGTCAGCCATTCCAGCCAAAACCACCAAGCTTGTGCGCTGGTGTTTGGGCTCTTGCCAACCCCTAACACTGACAGCAACCCGGCACTGGCGATCGACTGCCAATTCCGCCCAACACTCCCGGCGGTTGACGGCACTTTTGTTGCTCCTCTCTGACGTCCAGCCGTAAGCACCGCTACACTAAACTCTTCACAAGGCTCCATGTCGCTCTGCCCACGCCTTGAGGCTGCCTTCTGGGCGCGTTTCTTTGTGCTGCTCAGGAGAGGGACACCCACGGCCCCATCGATTGGCACCCTAAACCAACGCGGGTGGGGTGCTTCCTGGGCGGCTGCTCTTGGTCCTTGCGGCCAGCTCGATTGGCAGCTGAATGGCGGGCGCGATGGCAGACAAACACCACAGCAGTGCGTGGCCAAAAGCTGGTTGGCGCTTTGCTAGCAGAAAGCGGCTTGCAGGCCACGGGAGGCACGGCCATATTGGCGCCTCGCAGCCGCCCATTCCCGCTCCCCGCGGAGGCCTGGAATGGCTAGAGCATGCGATGCGAACGGGCGACCGCAAGGTGCCAGACAAGCTGCGGGATTGGCGCCTCATGGGCGCCCATTCCCGCCTCCCGCGGTCGCCTGGAATGGCCCCCGCCGGCCACGCGATTGGGCGTCCGCGAGGCGCGAGAGGCACGGGAGGATGGGCGCCTAACCGGCGCCCATTCTTGTCACCCACGGTCGCCTAGAATGGGGCCCGCCGAATGGTGCGTGTGGGCGTCCGCGAGGTGCCAGATGCGGCGCACGATCGGTGCATCGCTTGCGCCCAATCGCGCTGCCGGCTTTGCGTTGAAACGGGGCTGTCTGTGGCGCAGTTGGGTGCCCGGGAGCCGCAAAATGCGCTGAGGGATTCGCGCCTTACGGGCACCCATTGCCGGCTCCTGCGGCGGCCTGGAACGGCGTCCGCCGGTCGCGGGAATGGGTGCCCACAAGCCACAAGAGGCGGCGAGCAATCCACGGCCGCCCACGAGTGCGAGCTGCGCAGCCTGATTGGCCCCTTGCAGGGCCCATTCCTGCCACCCGTACCGCTTTGGAACAGTCCCCTCGGGGTGCGTGAATGGGCACCAGCGACTTGCGAGGGGGCTGGGTCGTTCGCGTTTCTTGTGCGTCCGATCATGCCGCCCGCCATAGGCTATTAGAGCCTCCGCGGGCGGCGGGAATCGCTGCCCACAAGGCGCTAGAGGCGCCAAGCGATTTGCCTCCGCGCCGCCCACGGTTTTCTAAAACTGCCTGCGCCAATGTGCGCGACCTGACTCGCCCCTCCTGGCCGCCCATTCCCGCCGCCCGCCGCCGTGCTGGCCACTCCCCGCTCCGCTC